TGTTTTTAGGTACAAAATAACGCCACCTTAGTAAGGGCAACATTCATTAACTATGTGGAATAAAAATGAAGAATGTTTGACGAACTTATATCCACTACTTAAATCAAAAATACTGATAAAAACACAGACAAATTTTATAAAAAGATTTCATCAAATTAATCATATTTTTCGTTAATCCCTTTAGTTGTGCACACTGTTTGCAAAAATGTGTAATTAATATATTGTTTTCTCATAACTCAACCACAGGTCAGGATTATTTTTTCAGCGCTAAGTTACATAATAGAATGTTAGTACTGAACCCAATGCTGGTAGTAAATCTCGATTTTTAGTATTATTAACTCTCAAGTTAAGGAGGGGGTGTTACAAAAGTCGGGCTATTTTTGTTTGTTCGCTTTATAATGTTCGCGGAAATTTAATAAAGGGCTATTTGCATTAGCTGCCCCTTATCTTGAACTGATAGAACAGACGGGCAGCTAGTCAACATCACCCGAAGCCAACTTATAGACTACCCTTATCTGACAAAATAATGGGATTTAGTCATCAATTTTCTAACGCACTCACGGCTCCAAAGTGTGGAGTGAGATTTTTTGCCGGTAACGGGACACGAACACGGAACTCTCAAGATCCACAATCCAGTCGGTATTGTGATAATTCTTTTAGCTATGAGCTAGCTGAATTTGTTAAAGAAAAATAAAGATTGATTATGTATTTATTTGCTTATTTTTATTTTAAAAAATGATGCTTTGCTCTACATTTTTTGTCATTCGACCCTTTACAGTTTTGTTCTATATTTGTATTTTGTTGTAAATATTCTATTATTCGATGCATTATAAGATTTCCACGAAATTACGAAATTATTTCATTAATTCTTATTGTAATGACATACTCGTTAGTAAGAGCATGTTGCGTATCTGCTTCTTTGTTAATTTCCGGTAGAAATTCTTTCCGAGAAACTTCAGCGATACAAGTACTTCGTTGGTTAAACAAGTTTATTCTTCCTCGATACAAACTTTTAGCACACAGTAATTCCACAGTCAATACGATTCTCGTCACTTTAAACTTAACTACTCTTATAATACACGCTATAAATCACAGTGATTCACAATCTCGATAACTTCGCTTTCTAAGAATGCAAAACACACACACTAGCTCGAAACAGAATCGTAAATTACCCGAAACTCTCTTCATTTCATCCCACAGACTTTCTCTGCCAGGCTTATATACTAAAAACGAGGACGTCTCGACAAACTCGGTCTTCCCCGATAATTCATGATCATTCAAGAAATTCATCACGTGTTACCAGAGTCACATGACCTCCGCTGTCGTAACACTGCCCCTTCCTTATATTGTTCGTCCTAAACAATAGCCATTTCCATAAAACCAATAAACAATTAACAATAACTTAATTAAATGTACAG